CTGTACTCAAGGAGAAGTACACATCCTTACTCAAGTAGAAGTACACACATCCTGTACTCAAGGAGAAGTACACACATCCTTTACTCAAGTAGAAGTACACACATCCTTACTCAAGAGAAGTACACACATCCTGTACTCAAGGAGAAGTACACATCCTTTACTCAAGAGTAGAAGTACACATCCGTACTCAAGTGAGAAGTACACATCCTTACTCAAGAGAAGTACACACATCCTGTACTCAAGAGAAGTACACATCCTTTACTCAAGTAGAAGTACACACATCCTGTACTCAAGGAGAAGTACACACCTTTACTCAAGTAGAAGTACACACATCCTGTACTCAAGAGAAGTACACACATCCTTACTCAAGTAGAAGTACACAAATCTGTACTCAAGGAGAAGTACACATCCTTTACTCAAGGAGAAGTACACATCCTGTACTCAAGTAGAAGTACACACATCCTGTACTCAAGGAGAAGTACACACATCCTGTACTCAAGGAGAAGTACACATCCTTTACTCAAGGAGAAGTACACACATCCTGTACTCAAGAGAAGTACACACTTTACTCAAGGTAGAAGTACACACATCTGTACTCAAGTAGAAGTACACACATCCTGTACTCAAGGAGAAGTACACATCCTGTACTCAAGTAGAAGTACACAATCCTGTACTCAAGGAGAAGTACACAATCCTTTACTCAAGTAGAAGTACACACACATCCTTTACTCAAGGAGAAGTACACACATCCTTACTCAAAGTAGAAGTACACACATCCTGTACTCAAGGAGAAGTACACACATCCTTACTCAAGGAGAAGTACACATCCTTTACTCAAGGAAGTACACACATCCTGTACTCAAGTAGAAGTACACACATCCTGTACTCAAGTAGAAGTAACACATCCTTACTCAAGTAGAAGTACACACATCCTGTACTCAAGTAGAAGTACACACATCCTTTACTCAAGTAGAAGTACACACATCCTTACTCAAGGTAGAAGTACAACACATCCTTACTCAAGTAGAAGTACACACATCCTTTACCCAAGTAGAAGTACACATCCTTTACCCAAGTAGAAGTACACACATCTTGTATTCAAGTAGAAGTACACATCCTGTATTCAAGGTGAAGTACACACATCCTGTATTCAAGTAGAAGTACACACATCCTGTACCCAAGTAGAAGTACACACATCCTGTACTCAAGTAGAAGTACACACATCCTTTACCCAAGTAGAAGTACACACATCCTTTACTCAAGTAGAAGTACACACATCCTTACTCGGTAGAAGTACACACATCCTTTACTCAAGTAGAAGTACACACATCCTTACTCAAGTAGAAGTACACACATCCTGTACTCAAGTAGAAGTACACACATCCTGTACTCAAGTAGTAGAAGTACACACATCCTTACTCAAGAGAAGTACACACATCCTTTACTCAAGTAGAAGTACACACATCCTTTACTCAAGAAGAAGTACACATCCTTTACTCAAGTAGAAGTACACACATCCTTGTACTCAAGTAGAAGTACACACATCCTTTACTCAAGTAGAAGTACACACATCCTTACTCAAGAGAAGTACACACATCCTTTACTCAGGAGAAGTACACACATCCTGTACTCAAGAGAAGAACACATCCTTTACTCAAGTAGAAGTACACACATCCTTACTCAAGTAGAAGTACACACATCCTTACTCAAGTAGAAGTACACATCCTTTACTCAAGTAGAAGTACACACATCCTTTACTCAAGTAGAAGTACACACATCCTTTACTCAAGTAGAAGTACACACATCCTTTACTCAAGTAGAAGTACACACATCCTTACTCAAGAGAAGTACACATCCTTTACTCAAGAAGAAGTACACATCCTGTACTCAAGTAGAAGTACACACATCCTGTACTCAAGTAGAAGTACACACATCCTTTACTCAAGTAGAAGTACACACATCCTGTACTCAGTAGAAGTACACATCCTGTACTCAAGTAGAAGTACACATCCTTTACTCAGGTAGAAGTACACACATCCTGTACTCAAGTAGAAGTACACACATCCTGTACTCAAGTAGAAGTACACACATCCTGTACTCAAGAAGAAGTACACATCCTTTACTCAAGGAGAAGTACACACATCCTGTACTCAAGAAGAAGTACACATCCTGTACTCAAGGAGAAGTACACATCCTTTACTCAAGCAGAAGTACACACATCCTTTACTCAAGTAGAAGTACACACATCCTTTACTCAAGGAGAAGTACACATCCTTTACTCAAGTAGAAGTACACATCCTGTACTCAAGTAGAAGTACACACATCCTTTACTCAAGTAGAAGTACACACATCCTTTACTCAAGTAGAAGTACACACATCCTTTACTCAAGTAGAAGTACACACATCCTTTACTCAAGAAGAAGTACACATCCTTTACTCAAGTAGAAGTACACACATCCTTTACTCAAGTAGAAGTACACACATCCTTTACTCAAGTAGAAGTACACACATCCTTTACTCAAGTAGAAGTACACACATCCTTTACTCAGGTAGAAGTACACACATCCTTTACTCAAGTAGAAGTACACACATCCTTTACTCAAGGAGAAGTACACATCCTTTACTCAAGTAGAAGTACACACATCCTGTACTCAAGTAGAAGTACACACATCCTTTACTCAAGAAGAAGTACACATCCTTTACTCAAGTAGAAGTACACACATCCTTTACTCAAGTAGAAGTACACACATCCTTTACTCAAGTAGAAGTACACACATCCTTTACTCAAGGAGAAGTACACATCCTTTACTCAAGTAGAAGTACACACATCCTGTACTCAAGTAGAAGTACACACATCCTTTACTCAAGTAGAAGTACACATCCTGTACTCAAGAAGAAGTACACATCCTTTACTCAAGGAGAAGTACACACATCCTGTACTCAAGGAGAAGTACACATCCTTTACTCAAGGAGAAGTACACATCCTTTACTCAAGGAGAAGTACACACATCCTGTACTCAAGGAGAAGTACACATCCTTTACTCAAGGAGAAGTACACATCCTGTACTCAAGTAGAAGTACACATCCTTTACTCAAGAAGAAGTACACATCCTTTACTCAAGTAGAAGTACACATCCTTTACTCAAGTAGAAAGTACACATCCTTTACTCAAGAAGAAGTACACATCCTTTACTCAAGGAGAAGTACACACATCCTTTACTCAAGGAGAAGTACACATCCTTTACTCAAGTAGAAGTACACATCCTTTACTCAAGTAGAAGTACACATCCTTTACTCAAGGAGAAGTACACATCCTTTACTCAAGGAGAAGTACACATCCTGTACTCAAGTAGAAGTACACACATCCTGTACTCAAGTAGAAGTACACACATCCTGTACTCAAGTAGAAGTACACACATCCTGTACTCAAGTAGAAGTACACATCCTGTACTCAAGTAGAAGTACACACATCCTGTACTCAAGTAGAAGTACACACATCCTTTACTCAAGGAGAAGTACACATCCTTTACTCAAGAAAGAAGTACACATCCTTTACTCAAGGAGAAGTACTACTCTGGTAAAAGTAGAAGTACTGACTAAACTTCTTTACTCAAGTTAAAGTATATAAAAAACATGTCTCTGAAGTGTTTTTGCCTCCAAACACCAAAAGATCCTTCTCGCCTCAACCCCCCCCCCTCCCCCCCCCCCTCTCAGCTGTACTAAAGAGATGACCCATGGGTTCAGACACAGAGCGTATTACTTCCAGAACACGTCTCATTGTTTCTGACAGCAACGTCTCTGATTGCCCTGTGGGTGTAAAGCCCGCCCACATTTTAGTAATGTCGTCATGACGCAGCAAATAGAGAGGCGAAGTCCCTCCCCTTCCGGTGGACCTCCCATGGGACCTTATTTCGGAAAAATTATGCATTGAAAGTCAATGGGAGAGAAAGATTATCTTTCGATCCCGTTTGAATTGTGCCAACGAATTACACATATGATGTTTGTCAATTTAAAGATCATTTTGGCAAGTCAAAAAAAAATGTTAGTAGTAAGTAACACTTTTTTTGTGTGAAACGCTCAATGAACTACATCCTCTGGTCAACAAACACACGTCACCAAGATGGCCGTCACTACTGTCTTGTCAACAAATCGATTGACTACCCTCACTATCACCACAATGAAACACGTCCTGAAGAATGTCATGCAAAGCTGCCTGCCTGCCTTCCTTTGATTCTCTCTGAACTGCCCGGTCGTTTTAATGTTTAATTGTCAACCATTTGGCAGATAGCATGAAGTAGAGAAGATCGCCGATGCTAGCGTTAGCGTTAGCATTCTCCCCCGGGCTTAAATGGTGTATTATAGAATGATCACACCGGTGTGACAGTACTCTTCAAAGGGTTCACGAAATATGACTACTACTCTTACTGTTTAACATTTTGGGTTACTTCATGTTACTTCATGTTAAGGCTAATAAAAATGACAAGGCTGTAATGCTAACTAACGTGCTAGCTACTAGCTAGGTAGCTAGCTTGATCCAGACACTCCTGGTAAATAAGGTCCCATGGGGCGGAAGTAGATGGGCGTGACTTCGCCTCTCTATCTGGATCAGCTCCGTTGTTCCCCCGTTTTTAGAGATGTGGGTACAGAGGAAAAGAGAGAGGGTTTTATTTCCTGACACTTTGTGTGTCTCCTGACACACGGGGACTCACCGGGGACACACCAGGGACACACCGGGGACACACCGGGGACACACCGGGGACACACCGGGGACACACGGGGGACTCACCGGGGACACACCGGGGACACACCAGGGACACACCGGGGACACACCGGGGACTCACCGGGGACACACCGGGGACACACCAGGGACACATATTGATATAGAAAAGACATCACTCTGTGAGTCTCCTGACACACCGGGACCTTTAACGTGCTTACCTCTAAGTCCAGCAGGGGGCAACAATAAGTCTGATGATAGAAGTGTCTGCTGTGTCTCCCAGGGGAAGAAGCTGTGGACCGTCCTCCTCCCGGCTCCAATCACCCACCATGGCCTCCATGGAGCTCCACGACCCGGGGTCTGCAGGCGGTTCTGGTGGGTCTGGCTAACTGCGAGGTCCAGCTGTATACCGAGACAAGAGCTGCTGAGCAGCATCAAGACCCCCGATGGTGGTATCCAGCATCTGCTTCGGCCGCTACGGGCGCGAGGACGGGGACGCTCATCATGACCACCAAGGTACTTGGAGGGGTCCAGCCTCCCAGTTCTCCTCCTGCCCTGCCGTGGGTGCCCCTGAGCAAGGCACCTGACACCCCCCCCTGCTCCCACTGCTCCCCGGGCGCTTGTGGCAATAGCTGCTCCTACTAGTTAGGATGGGTTAGAAGCAGAGAACCACATGTCACTGTGTTTCAATATCAAGGCTTTTATTGTCATGTGAGCAGAGCCACAGTGAAGATATGACAATGAAGATCTCAGGTCACAGGCTCCTCCAACAGAGAAACACAATAACACAGGATCAAATAGTGCCAAGTAAATGCAAATAAATAGAATAGAATAATAATAGAAATAGTTCAAGAATAGTCCTATACAGTCATTGGAATATTGATATATATAAGTGCAAACAGATGCATGTTATGGGTGAGTGCTGTGTCCTTTAAAGAGGGTTTCATCTCTCCTCAGGACTGGCGGTCTGATCGTGAACATCCTGAAGAGGACGCCTCCTTCGAGGACGTGCGGCCGCGGCCGGGCCGCCGCTGGCTCAGAGCATCCGGCTCAACGTGCCCAAGAAGACCAAGCTGTACGTGGACCAGACGCTGCGGGAGCGAGAGGAGGAGCGGCGCTGCCATGCACCGGGCCTTCCAGATGGACCTGAGCCGCCTGCGCCTGGCCGCTGCCAGCGCATACGTCAAGGTGGAGGACTGGTTTCTATTCATTTAATTGTTCATTTTTTGTCTGTCTGTTTGTCCTCTGTCTGTGTGGGATTGTGTTTGGTGTTCAGCAGTATTTACCATTGTTACTCTACCTATTTTCTATAAAGTGAAGATTTGTTTACCTTCTTTTGAGACATGCTCTGATAGAATAACCTGTATAGCTGTTGAACAAACCCAATAAACTAGTTTAACAAACAAAACAAGGTAAATGGCCCAATATACGGGTTAAGCCTTAGTATTCAGGGAGAATACTTTAAAGTGGATTTTGCATAATAGTGACCTTTAATGTCTTTCATGTAAAGCACTTTGAATTGCCTTGTGTTGAAAGGACTGTATGAATAAACTTGTCTCACCCTAAGGCTCTGGAGTCCAGCCTGACTCCGATGTCCTGCCGCCTCAGCGAGCCTCTGAAGATGAACGCCGTGGTGCAGGGCCTCGGTCCGGCCTTCAAACTCACGCTGAACGTCCAGAACACGGCGGCGTGTCGACCCGTCGCCAACCTGGCTGTCAGCTTCCTGTACGACGAGAGTCTGTACCGCATGCGGACGCCGTACCTGAGGATCCCGCTGCTGGTGCCCGGTGTCGTTTACCCCGTGGAAACCTTTGTGGAGTGCAGCAGCGACAAGGGCATCTCTGACATCATCAAAGTGTTCGTGCTGCAGGAGGGCAGCAGCGCGCCCCTGCTCAGCGCGCACATCAACATGCCAGTGAGCGAGGGGCTGACTATCAACTGAAAACAAGAAGTTAATATTAACATGCCAGTGAGCGAGGGGCTGACTATCAACTGAAAACAAGAAGTTAATATCAACATCCCGGTTAGTGAGGGGCTGACGATCAACTGAAAACAAGAAGTTAATATTAACATGCCGGTTAGTGAGGGGCTGACTATCAACTGAAAACAAGAAGTTAATATCAACATGCCGGTTAGTGAGGGGCTGACTATCAACTGAAAACAGGAAGTTAATATTAACATGCCGGTTAGTGAGGGGCTGACTATCAACTGAAAACAAGAAGTTAATATTAACATGCTGGTTAGTGAGGGGCTGACTATCAACTGAAAACAAGAAGTTAATATCAACATGCCGGTTAGTGAGGGGCTGACTATTAACTGAAAACAGGAAGTTAATATCAACATGCCGGTTAGTGATGGGCTGACTATTAACTGAAAACGAAGGGAAGTTAATATCAACATGCCGGTTAGTGAGGGGCCTGACTATTAACTGAGAAAACAGGAAGTTAATATCAAACATGCCGGTTAGTGAGGGGCTGACTATCAACCTGGAAAACAGGAAGTTAATATCAAACATGCCGGTTAGTGAGGAGGGGCTGACTATTCGAAACTGAAAACAAGAAGTTAATAGTTAACATCCCGGTTAGTGCTGAGGGCTGACTATCAACTGAAAACAAGTTAATATCAACATGCCGGTTTTTAGTGAGAGGCTGACTATCAACTGAAAACAGGGACTCTTCAAACATCACAGGAACAACAAGAACTGACCAAAGAGGAAGAACTTTATTTATAAATACTTATAAATCATTTCAGAGATTTGAACAGATTAAAGCCGTATTTTTTATCCCTTACAATTCTGCTTTTTTCAGAGGATTTCTTTTAGTTTTTCACACAATAATATTTTAATAATCACAGATCATTTTGTGGTAGATTACCATTTTAATCAAGGAAAAGTGAGGGTTTTTACGAGGGTCTCGTTTTACCTTACGAGGCCTTCGTAGATATTGCATCCACGTCTACAGGAATGATTTTGTTCATTCACAAACAAATATTAAATGTTGTACGATTAAATATTTCTGTTTCCGTAGATTTGTCCATATTTATTGTAGTTTGTCTTCATTTTACTACAGATTTATTAAAAACTGTTTGAGTTCTCAGTGTACAAAATCACTGCAGACGAAAAAATTACCTTTTGGTTTATTTATGAATGTTGTATAGAAATATTTCCCGAACAAATAAAAAGTAATTTTCTGTGTTTTTGTAGTCTTGTACAAAATAAATAAAATAATAAATAAAAGATTTCTCATGTCTTCATTTTTAAAGAGGTTTTATTCTGCTTGTTGTCTGACTAACGCATTGGACTCTTGTTTACTTCTGGAACAAGTGACCTCACTAAGGAAACACACGCTCCCATTAGAGGTGCAGGGAGGACGTATTCACCCTGAAGGAAGCGTGCTGGTTCCCTCCACTAAAAAGCCTTCTTGAAACATTGTGAAAAAGGATTTTAAAAATAGTACAATACTTTCAAAATAAAGTGATTCCAGAGTGATGCTGTAACATACTGTGTGGACACCGCTTCTGTTTGCTGAGGGTAAACTCTGATGTTGGGAAATAAACAGAAAGTACCCGATGTGGACCAGAGAACGACGAGCTGTAATAAAAGTCGAGAGAAGAAGAAGAAGAAGAACAGACTGTATCTGGATCAAACGTGGATTCAAAGATGAGACGCCGTCTTCATTTTATTGTGGTGAGAAACTGAATACGATTCTGATCATTCTAAACATATTTTTATACAATAAAATTACAACTTATTTTTAACCGTTGAGATTGTTCAATAAAAAGAGGAACACAACAAATATTTAAAACATCAAAAAAAGTACGAAACTCAGAAATGGGTGTTCTGGTTTATGTACTTTAGTACTTTTACTTTGGGGACCAACTTAAGGTCCCCAATGGTTAGCTAGTAAAGGTTTATGGTTTAACGTTAATGTGCTGTGTGTGTGTGTGTGTGGTGTTGTGTGCAGCTGTGTTGTGTGGTGTGTGACGGCGTGATGTTCGGTCAGCTCTGCAATGGAACTCTGCAAACAGCCGGAGGACGTCTGACAAATGGGGGAGGGGAAACTACGGAGCCAGCAGGTAACAACAACAACAACAACAACAACACAACTATAACATCAACACTACATAGAGAGGTGCAGTTCTAAACCCTGACATGATCTCAGCATTTCCTCACTTCCTGTCCCCTGGTCTGGATGTCAATGGTTTTCTGAATGTGTTTTTGGCTGTTTATCCTGAATTAAGGTCTGGGGTTAAAACAAGCTTGAAGAGATTTCAACGTTTTGTTCTATGACATAAAATACGACAGTAAATAACCCACTGGAGGATTTAAAAACAGAGGTTGCTAACAAGAGTCTAAATGAGATGCCCAACATTAGCCTTCCTTTAGCTTAGCGGTGGTGACGTGAAGTCATGTGGACGTGCTGTAGTTCCTTTATAGCCAACAAACATTAGCCTCCTTTAGCTTAGCGGTATGGTGACGTGAAGTCATGTGGACGTGCTGTAGTTCCTTTATAGCCCAACATAGCACCACCTTTAGCTTAGCGGTGGTGACGTGAAGTACATTGTGACCGTGCTGTAGTTCCTTTATAGCCCAACATTAGCCACCTTAGCTTAGCGGTGGTGACGTGAAGTCCGTCACCGTGCTGTGGTTCCTTTATAGCCCAACATTAGCCACCTTTAGCTTAGCGGTGGTGACGTGAAGTCATGTGACCGTGCTGTAGTTCCTTTATAGCCCAACATTAGCCTCCTTCAGCTTAGCGGTTGGTGACGTGAAGTCATGTGACCGTCGCTGTGGGTTCCTTTATAGCCCAACATTAGCCACCTTTAGCTTAGCGGTGGCATAGTCATGTGACCGTGCTGTAGTTCCTTTAGTCCATGTTTCTCAAAGTGTGGGGCGCGCCCCACTGGTGGGGCGCAGAGATTGTGATAGGTGGGTCGCGAATGGACGCAATGAACGGGAGATTTTTTTTTTTTTTTTATATATATGCATAAATAAAAAGAACGAATGCTAACTAGTAACATAAGATAAGAATAAACCAGTTTAATGATTTGTTATTGTTGTGATCATATTCTAAAGATGTTTGGATAATTGAAAGTATACAGCTCCCTTTCATCTGAGTGTTGAGAGCTGTATCCATCAATTCATCTGTGCTCAAAGTGCACCAGATTGATTGCAGTTTCACTTCAAACATTTAAAAAAACATCTTCCCCCCGGGGGTGCATGCCCCCGGACCCCCCTAGGGGAGGTGAGGTCCACCCCCAAATAAAACAGGGTTAAAATAATTTAATTGCATACATTTTCTTTTAGTAAACACTGAAAAGGGGGTCCACAAGACCCAAATAGCAAACGAAGGTTAAAGGTAAGCATATCATAATGTTAAAATGTGCTAATATATACACAGCAAAAAACAAAAAAAAGAGCAGTAAAAGTAGCTCACGACTTGTTTTATTTTTTTTAAGTAGCTCTCATCCTAAGAAAGGTTGGAGACCCCTGCTATAGAACGATACATTTGACAATTTTAAGCTTGGCCTACCATTTTATTTTTTTATATATACGATGATGAACAGGTGGGCCTTTTCAAGCCCCACCTGTTCAAAGTGGGGAATGACAGAAAATGTTTGAGAACCACTGCTTTAGTCCAACGTTAGCCACCTTTAGTTTAGGAGATTATCCTGCCAGAGGCGGCTCCAGAGTATTTGTGTTGGGTAATCTATGGTAGGGCTAACCCATACAGTGGTGGGGCTCAAGTCAGTATTTGCAATGTAATTACATACACACTATATCTCCCCCCTTGACAGTGAAACGCCACGCGTGAGGTTTAGATTATTTCCCTGTCTCAATCAAAATGGAACTGTATGAAATAAAATGGCACATTTGTCTTGTAGTAAATAAAAAGGGATCACTGTGAACGTGACGTATGATAGTACACGTTGAAGATCCAATGCGGATACTGAATGGCGGTTCCGATCGATCTCAATCAGTAAGGCGTGACGCAGACCCAACGTTTCGTTACTCTGATTGGCTGTAGGTCTATTCAAATTGCATTCGGAGGCATTTTGATCTGACCGTGGTCGCGCTGATATTATAACGCCAGAGAATTTCTACACCTTTAGTGTACACAACACTATATAGCATATATATATGCTATATATGCTATATATGCTCTGACCGTTCCACTTCCTGCCTGCCTGACCTTACGTTACTGCTGCGCCGCGTCAAAAATAGGATTCATCCTAATTTTAGAGGAGCCCTGCGCCGAGGCGCTTCCGGGACCCTTCTGGGACGCTTCTGAGCCGTAACGCGCCCGTAACGCGCCCGTAACGCGCCCGTAACGCGCCCGTAACGCGCCCGTAACGCGCCCGTAACGCACCGCAGACGAACCCGGTGGAATCTAGGGGTTAGCCATTTCTTGGTATGGCTGTAGCCTACCCCAGCCATACCCTGACGCTGAACAAAACTTGTAAAGTATCATAAACGTTTGTTTACATCCCTACAGTTGCATTGTGGGACATGTAGTCTCCAGTGTCAGTTTTGTACCATTGGTTACTGTTAACTAGGGATACTAAAATAAAAGATTTGTTATATTTTTACGGGTGTTTGTTGTGTTTCAGAGGGGCCCGGCTCCACAAAGGTCTGGACATCGTGTGCAGCGACGGATCGATCGTCTACGCTCCGTTTGATGTGACATTAAACGGGAAAGTCACCGTGTACACCGACCCCAATAAGGCGGCCATCAACAGCGGCATCAACCTGAGTGGAGAGGGTTAGCATCACATTAGCTGTTAAATATCTAACGTTTGTCATGCGACACACTGACAGTAAAGTGTGTTGTCATGCGACACACTGACAGTAAAGTGTGTTGTCATGCGACACACTGACAGTAAAGTGTGTTGTCATGCGACACACTGACAGTAAAGTGTGTTGTCATGCGACACACTGACAGCAAAGTGTGTGTTTCGCAGGTCTGTGCTTCAAGCTGTTCTACGTGCAGCCGGACCGGACCTCGGGCACGGTGAGGGCAGGGCAGCGGCTCGGCGTCATGCTGCCGATGCAGAGCGTTTACCCAGAAATCACCTCTCACATCCACGTCCAGATGTGCGACCGCAGCGACCCCACGCCGCACTTCTGATCTAACAGAACTGTGTTCAAATTGTATTTCTTGTTATAAACCAATAAAACCTAAAGACAGTGTTGTGGTGTTTCTTGAAATAAAGCCACGTCCAAACTAATGTATTACGCTGCTTAGTTGAATGCATGATTCTGATTGGTTCATTTGGATATTTCAGAGATTGTTTTTCTTAGTAATACCAACATTTTTAATTCAATAAAATAATTTTCAATTATTTCTGGGAGTCAAGACGTTGGTTTATTTAGTGTGTGACCGTGTAATAATGGGGATAATGTGCAGCGAGGAACTTCATTAATGACCGCCTCGCTGCACAGGAACCCTTTATAATAACAAAGTGAAGACATCACATCAGCTTTATACTTCTCGTTTATTGTCAGGGTGCAGAAGATAGTGATTCACACACACAACAATCAGTTTGAATTTAAAACGTAGACATTATCACACTGTGTGGATCTGTTTCCATCTTAACCTGTTAAGCCCCGAGCCTGTTTTTCAGGTTTCAGGCTCGAAAATGACATGCCCAAAACAAATGACTACAACTTCACTTCTAAAAGGGTTATATGAATAATTGTTTTTATCAAAGCAAGGTTACATCTGTGAGTTGGATGTAGAAGTGTCAGAATCAATATAGATTTTTCTCAGTCAGAGTAACATAGTAAAAAAAGGTTCTTACCTCCGCCTAAAGAAAAAACATTACTTATAGTGAAAACCACCCTTGAATGATGGGATGGTAGACTAAAAGCTTTAGGAATCCAAACTAGAACATATAATAAGTACCCTGTATCACGATTGAGACAAAACAAGTTATATTTGACCTTTTTAGAGAGGTTTAGCAAAAAGAAGTTCCAGGCGGAATAAGCTTTCGGCACATTTGGGTACATCTGGTTCCATCAGTGCCATTTGACCTTTTTCAGGTACCAGACTATAAAAATGATGTATTACATTGAATTATCACCATAGGTATTCATTCCATCCAAAGAAAAAAAATTAAAATAATAAAAAAAAATAAAAAAAAAATAAAACTTTTTTTTTTTTTTTTTTTGTGAAAAAAAAAGACCCGTCGACGGGGGCTTTGGGGCTTAACAGGTTAAAGTGATGAGTGATTACATGTGATTGATATCAGCTGAGGACATGTTGCTGTCCTGCAGAACTACTGCACAGGACGGACCTTCATGCTGATGGATTTCAGGGAGTAGTCGTGACCCTTCCAATGGAACCAGCTCACTCCTATAGCAAAAATAGTGTCATCAGCCCCCCAGAGATAAACCCCGTTGGGATTTGTGTGGTGACAATTGGAGTACCAGAACCCCCCCAGGTGTGATCTGGCACAGTTATATTCATGGGTGTCCTGGTCTTTGTCGAAGGTGGAGAACTTCTGTCCGTTATAATTACTCAGGGAGTCTCCTGCAGAAACACAACAAGTGTATAATCAGAATATTATAATGCAACGAATACAGGGATGAAGTATCTCTGTGTTGGTCCCTGAAGGCAGTAACATTAGGCTGTAAAGGAACTACAGCACGGTCCCTTTGGGTAATGTTCTCTTTGTCAATCAGTCATTAGCCTAAGGACAGCCCAGATCATTCATTGTTAAATATATAGGAAGGGATACCTCCAGATGTGTGATATACAGAAGAATGTCATCGGCATATAGCCACAGTTCCTGATCTGCTGTTGTTACCCCCTTGTACTGTCCTCCTGATGATGTATCTAATCAAAAGTAGGCAGCCAGCCAAACTCCCAAATAATCGACACGAGAGTCAGGATATAGCGTTAAGCTCTAGCATTACTATGGACTCAATGGACATGCCGGTACAGCAAAGGAGTAAAACTAAAATAAAACAGACATATACATTGAATTAGTTACACAGAACAGATGACATGCAAAAACATCCAAACAACTCAAAAAGCCTTAAAACTAGAAGATATAGTTTTAAACAACAAATAATTATTTACAAGCAATGCGTGCGATGAGCCACATCAAAGGATTGCACTGGATAGTGAACACCATGTGGCTCTGCATTGTGAACACCATGTGGCTCTGCTGGGCTCTCACATAACACTGAGCATGTGGCCTGATAGACTTTGTAAATACTGGTCTACGGTGCAGTACCACGTTTAAACATAGGGGATGCTAAACAACACAAAACACAAGATAAACTGCCTGGAGGGCAGAACACCCCTTATCTCTCTCTGATGTCTGAAGCCAGTCCTAAGTGTGAGAGCGTCTCCTGAACATCAGAAAGACATCAAGCACTTCCTGCTGTTCCTCACCTGCCCCTCCATCAGTGAATCCAGAAACATTCAAAGTGAACCCCGGAGGACTCGGGCTGCACGGAGAACGAGGAGTACCGAGCGAACACTTTGACACCTTCAAAGTCCTCCATGTCCACCAGCAGCTCGTACTTCTTCCTCAGAGTCAGGTGGGAGAGAGTCTCAAGACCTGCAGACAAACAGACACCATGAACGCTAGGAAACCGTGAGTTTGATCAAGTCAGGACCTCCGGTTCGTCTTCATCTCTCACCGAGCCAGTATTCTCCGACAGCGAAACCAAAGCCCGTCTTGTAGTGATCCCAGGGCCGGTAGAAGTTCACCGAGCCGTCCATCCTCCTCTGGAACACCTGGGGGAAATACTAAATCTCTCAGCAAATATAATGGACATTTCCAGTCCATGGAAAAAGAGCATGACAGAGTTGAACCAGCCTCTACTGGGAACAGGACCAACAGTAGATCTAAAGTGGAGCCTCTGATTTCTCACTGCCATTCAACTGAATGCATTCAGGAGCTAACCTGACTAAGCATGGTTTAGGCTAACACACTTCAAGTGTCCCAACGGTCTCTGGATAGATATATCAAACTGTAGATTGATAGATTAGACTAAATACTGCACAAAGATACTGTACGTATATTCATCTCTGGCTGTCTGACCAGGTTTCAGTTCACAGATAACTGGGGGCCAGATTTAGCTTTTGAGTTCAGGTACTCACCGTCCACCGTCCGTCCAGTGAGTCCATGTCACAGTACACCGACACACACACACACACACACACACACACACACACACACACACACACACAAACACACTACACACAACACACACACACACACACACACACACACATACACACCACACACACACCCACACACACACACCACACACACACACACACACACCCACACACACACACACGTTCTCATTAACACATCCTATCCATTTGATCAGTGAGATATAGTGTTGTATGAAGTCTCTCAGAGGATGTACCTGGACAGCAGAGGTGGATCCGATGGGGTAGATGGTGTAAACTCCACTGGGTCGGCTGCTGCTCTGGTTGTAGATGTCGCTGCAGTCCATTGGGAGGACGAGAGACATGCCTCTGTCCAACAGCAGAGCCAGGAGGACGAGGACGACTGAGACCAGCTGGACAGAGGACATGTTGTTCTGACTTTAATCTGAGAAATCCTGAGTCAAAAAGTTTAATTCTGGAAAAAAACTGATTCCTGAAATCTTTTTTTTAAACTGAACCCTGAGTAAAAAATTCAAAATTCTGACTTTAATCTCAGAACAAAAAACCCCACTTTTTGTCAGAGCTAAAAACAAAATGCACATGTGGCTCTCATGCTCTTCCAAACAGGTAAGATAACAAAGTACATTTTATCCTCATATTGATCACACCATATGAAGGATATTATAATATATATATATATATATATATATATATATAGCAAGTATACAGAAGAGGATCAGGGCCACATGTAAAACATAAGTAAGTTCATCACAACTGTACCTTAGGTCATTTTTGCTGAATGCAGGACTTTGAATTATAACAGAGTATTTTAAATGTTAAATTGTCCTCACCTTCATGGTCATGTTTCTGCTGCAGTGATCTGAAGGAGATCTTCCCACAGTGTGTCCACTCTGCCTTCCTGTCTTATTTATGTTGAACACATCACTGATCAGCTGCTGTTTCTCACCGATGAACTCCGGCCCAGAGGACGATGCCCTGACGTCATCACCCTCGCACATTTGTCATATGTTTACAAAAATCGATATGTATGTGTCTCCGATCAGGAGTCGCAGCACCGCCCGACCCGTCCTGCAACACGGAGCCCTTTCTTAAACCATGCTAGATGTATGTGTGTGCATAAAGCTGAGCTATGATCATAATCTCACAGAACGTGGTTATGATCAAATTGTTTACCGTGAGATCTACTGCATACTTTTGGCCATAATCTCGCAGCCCTACAAATGAACTGAGATTTCCACACACACACATTCAACTATTCTAATACGCCCGACCAATACAAAGCACGTACAAATGTTTTGTGTCTGTATAAATCATTTTAGATGGAAACTAATTCAAGTTTAATGATGCTACCCACCCCGAACCTCCACCCCACATATCACATCCCAACTTAACCCCTGCACGTCAGCACATTTTGGGGACAAGAGTCCATTGAAAGAGGCAGCCTTGTTAACTTTTAACTGAATGGCCTTGGGTAAGGGGTATTTCAGGTGAAATGCCATGTGTTTTCCTCTACACTATTTCATAATGCTCTCAATGTTTCTCAATTTTTTAAAGCCCTCTGTTGCAGAACTCCGGTTGAAAGGTGCTTTATAAATAAACTTGCCTTCCATCTTTGACAAAAAATAAAAGGAACATTTTCCTTGCTTTAAAACTGCTGTTTTATTGAAGTCTATTTAACTGAGAGGTGTTTTCTAATGATCTGTCCATCCTTATATGGTTTATACTGCCTTAGAGTGTACATTCAAGGTTATTAAATAACATATTTTCTTTTTTTTAATGTATAATTTCACCATTCATCACGTTCGCAAACTGTGAAAACAGAAGTTATTTTTTTAATATTAGTCTTAGAGTATATAATGTATGTAAGATTTAGAATTTTTTGATTTTCTGAAAAAAGTAATAATCCCAGTATTAATGATGTTTACCTGTGTTAGACTAACTTGTTGTTTATTATACCCAAATATGTGAAATGCAACGGCTGGAATTGGTGAGTGACGATGGCGATTCGGTGCTGCTCGTGCGTGGATCCATGA